ATACAATACAATACAATACAATACAATAATTACAATACAATACAATACAATAAATATATAAAAAAGAAGATTAAAAGCATCTGCAATTTAATAAAATTAATAATAATAAAATATTTTTATATTTAATTATTAATTTTACTAAATTTTGCAGCGATGACCTCATATTTTTTCTTTGTCTCGTTGGCAGACCGCTCCTTCCTGTCGAGGGAGAGCTCCTGCGCATCAAGGAGCCGGATCTGTTCCCTGAGGGTCTCTCTGTGAACCCTCAGTGACTTTTTTTCCCCTTGATGCGGGATATGAGGTCTTCGGTGCTTTTAATTTTCTTTTTTATATTATTCATTTTGCCGTCCACTCTCTGACGGAATTCCGCCCTCCGCTGCAGCTCTTCATTTATAATTTTTAACCAATCCTCGGAATCGTCTGAGGTGGTGGATGAAGATGTGGATAGCGTTGGTGAGAGCGACCGGACGGACGAAGATGGCCTCATATTCTTCCTTGCCGGATGCATATTTTTGCCTCTGCAACAAAAATTAACACATAATAATTTATATATTTCTCCAGAATGTCTTCAGATTTTTTTTTAAATTTATTTTTTGAATATTTACCTGGAAGGAAGTGCTGGAGCTTCGTGAGATGCCGCCGGATTTTGAAAATCGTCATCATCATCAATTTGTGTCACAATTTTTCTTTTAGCCGCCGCCTTTGATGAGCAGCTTGGCACCGAAGCCTCCATATGTATAATGGTGTCGATGGCCAAGTCGAGTTGTTCATCGGATATTCTGTATGAAAAAAACGAAAAAATGGTTTAAAAAAACGTTGAAAAATATTAGAAAAAAACTTACGCTTCATTTATGGCGGCGTCGATTGCAGGACCACTTTCCTCGCACATCTCTTGCAGCTCCAGGCGGGCCTCTTCAGATAAAGATGAGCACATGATGATAATATTAAAAAATTGACTTTAGTACAAGACGTTGTTTACTCAGCTTGTAGAAGACTGAATAATATTTAACGAATTCAGTAAACTTATATATCAAATTGTTGCAACTTACACAGTAATACGAACATCCGGCGAATTCCGTTGAACTGTACAGGTCACTTAACTCTTTGATGTCAGCTAAAATATTGTTACATAGTTATTCTTTGAGAATTGTGATCTGACACCATTTCCTGCTAAGTTAGCAAAAAATGTAATTTGACGCCGTGCTTTGTAATTTGACCCCATTTCCTGCTGAGTAAGCAAAAAAATGTTATTTGACACCATGCTGTGTAATTTGACAACACGATTTGTAATTTGACACCGTGTTTTGTAATTTGACACGGTGTTTTGTAATTTGACACCTTTGTTTTGAAATTTGACACCTTTGTTTTGAAATTTGACACCGTCTTTTGTAATTTGACACCTTTGTTTTGAAATTTGACACCGTGTTTTGTAATTTGACACCGTGTTGTGTAATTTGACACGATTTGAAATTTGACACAGTATTTTGTAATTTGACACCTTTGTTTTGAAATTTGACACCGTGTTTTGTAATTTGACACCTTTGTTTTGAAATTTGACACC